AATGCAAATTTTCCTTTTTTGCATATCGCGGTCACTTCGAATTTCACGAAATCTGAGGGCGCTCAAAGAGCTTCTACACGGTCCGGCTGATAATTAAATTTATCACGCGCATTGATTACACGTATATGTGGTTTTTGTGCGCCGGTTCACGGGAATTCGCCTTGCTGAAATATTTTGCACCTGCCCCGTGTGCAATAATGCCTCTGCTAAATTATCGTGTTATACAAGCTGGCTACCCAGCAGCCAGGAACAGCTGATTTACACCGAACTACCAACACGTTATCGTCACGACCCGTTTAACCGTTCCGAGTCGAATCTGTCCTCGATTTCCATTTCGTCATCGATTCTTACTGCTGTTATACTCGATTTGTGTCCTGTGATTCCTTGAAACAGAGGATCCATTCGCCAAAATTACGATTTTAAATCAACAGAATGGCGAATGTAATCTACAATATCTACTCGGATTATAGACCTAACCTGACTTACAGTTTCAACGAAAACGTAACCTATAATCTGGTAGAATTGTGCCATAAATCCTAACCTACCATCTCAGCAAAATTACTCAGAGCATAGCAAACCCAATTTAAGCGACACATTCTATGAAATTCTCAGAATATAGCTCAACTAAGAATTTTGTGAAATTCGCAGAAATGAAAAATTTTAGTCTACAATCTCTTTGAAAATGTCTAGAATATAATGGCAAATCAAATGTCAGAGATTCTACGAAACTGTTAGAAAATAACAGTGAACATAACCTATAATTTTGTAAGGTTCGTAGAAACGAGTCGTGAAAACTAACCCATAATTTTTGTACAATTGCACAAGGGACAATAATAAATTTTATTTAAACAGCAAACTTTATGATAACAAATGACAAACAGAGTAAACGTAACCTGACCTAACATACAATTATTGTAAAAATTCCTATAAATCAGTCATGCACCCAACCTCACTTATAACTCTTGTAAAACTCTAAGGGCAAAATAAACTTGATTTAACTTAAAATTTTTATGAGATTCCTATCAATGATATTGATGAACCTAATATAATCTACAATTTTGTAAAGTCCATACAAATATGCTGAAACTCTAACCTGTAATTTTTGTAAACTCCTCAGAACCCAATAATAAACCTAATCTAACCAGTAGACTTCATGAAATCCTTGTAATAAAAGAATCAACCTAACTAAGCACAATACATATACATTTATAGTAAAATTTCTGCAAATCAGTAATGAACCTAACCTCACTGTTAACTTTGCTAAAACGCTCACAGCAGAATAAACTTGACTTAACCTAAAATTTTTATGAGATTGCTGTAAATGAAAATCATAAACCTAACCTAACTTACTATTTAGTAAAGTCCATAGAAATATACTGAAACTCTAACTTGTAATCTTTGTAAAATTACTCAGAATTCAATAATACAACTAATCTAACCAGTAGACTTCGTGAAATCCTCCTCATAAAAGAATCAACCTAACCTAGCACATATACATTGATAGTAAAATTTCTGCAAATCAGTAATGAACCTAACCTCACTGTTAACTTTGCTAAAACTCTCGCAGCAGAATAAACTTGACTTAACCTAAAATTTTTATGAGATTCCTGTAAATGAAAATCATAAACCTAACCTAACTTACTATTTAGTAAAGTCCATAGAAATATGCTGAAACTCGAACCTGTAATTTTTGTAAAATTCCTCAAAATCCAATAATAAACCTAATCTAACTAGTAGACTTCATGAAGTCCTCGTAATAAAAGAATCAACCTAACTAAGCACAATACATACACATTTATAGTAAAATTTCTGCAAATCAGTAATGAACCTAACCTAATTTATGACTCTCCTAAAACTCTCATAGCAGAATAAACTCAACCTAACCTAAAATTCTTATGAAATTTCCATAACCGATAAATCTAATCTAAAAGAACTACTATGAAATTCCAAAAACTGAATAATAAACTGAAACCAAGGTACGCAGTGAAAGCGTCTCTGAACGAATTCGATAAACCGTAAAGCGAAACGGAAGGGCGATTTCAAAGTACTCTATTGTTTTTTCGATACCTTTTTCCTCCGTCCGGTGAAAACAGATTACGTGTATGGTGGAAAATAGAGGACGTGAAACGAGAAATGAAAATTGCTATGACGTTTTAGTAGCAGCGTACTATATTTTTTTCCGTTTATTTTCCTTCGCAATTCGTGTTTCGTTTGGATGATTGAAAATCCGAACGGACGTGAGTTTGGTAAACAAAAAGGAACGCTATATGTAATTTGAAAAACGGGACAGTAATTATTCAACGGGGACGGCTCTTTGTTGTTTCGATTTCATCGTTCGAGTGGATCGTTCCTGGGACGTGAATGGCTTATGGTGATACGAGAATGTCATAAAAAATGAAACGTTTCTTCTCGTGCATCATTGTTTTTGTCAACTAGATAATTCTTTACGTTCATTCTGTATTAACGAAACACGTACGCAGTCATTTCGAGCAAACTTTAATTTTAAATTGAGGTGTAAGCGTCATTTTTATATAGCGAGACTATAGCAGACTTTTCACGTTTAAAAATTCATCATTGTTTACTTTGAGCGGTGATCAGGCATTATATAATAACAATATCAAGGGTGGGTATACATAGCTAATTTCGTAAGATTTCATACTTCAAATTGGTGTATTATAAGTGACAATTTGACATACTTTTATGTCATGAACTGATATCAGAAGTTAGACAGTTTAATTGAGTACATTTCGTTGTATAGAGATGGTACATTGCTTTGAGGCCAGTGGTCTACCATGTTGGATTTAGAGTATCGATCAAGCGTTTACATAATCATTTTCCTTGGACTTTATGCTTTAAAACGGTATACTACACGTGCTATGTTAAGATACTTTTATGTCATGAAATGATATCGAAAGTTAAGCAACTTAAGAGAGTTAATTTCACTGTTTACAACTGATACAATGCGTTGAGGCCAATATTCCGCCATGTTGAATTAAGAATATCGTTCAAAAGTTTACGTAACCGTTTTCCTTGGACTTCAAGCTTCAAAAAGACATACTATATGTATTATTTTAAGATACTTTTATGTCATGAAATGATATCGAAAGTTAAGCAACTTAAGAGAGTTAATTTCACTGTTTACAACTGATACATTACATTGAGGCCAATATTCCGCCATGTTGAATTAAGAATATCGTTCAAAAGTTTACGTAACCGTTTTCCTTGGACTTCAAGCTTCAAAAAGACATACTATATGTATTATTTTAAGATACTTTTATGTCATGAAATGATATCGAAAGTTAAGCAACTTAAGAGAGTTAATTTCACTGTTTACAACTGATACATTACATTGAGGCCAATATTCCGCCATGTTGAATTAAGAATATCGTTCAAAAGTTTACATAATCGTTTTCTTTGGACTTCAAGCTTCAAAATGGTATACTACACGTGTTATTTTGAGATACTTTTATGTCACGAAATCGTGTACAAAGTCTGACAACCTAATGAGTATACTTTATCGTCTATCAGATCCATCGCTCGTTGAGACAAAAAATGCTCCCTTTTGTATTAAAAATATCGATGAAACGTTTACACAGAATTTTCCTGTAGCCTTTCCGCTTCAAATTGATGCACTGCTCACGCTATAACGGCATTCTTTTACGATACGAAATTCTATCGGACTTGTTAAGTTTCAACAGTCATGTTTTCCTCTAACTAGCGTTACTGTTTGTTATAATTGGCTCTCATACATTTTACGTTGAAAACAACAATGGCGGGTGTATGCAGTCGTTTTAATTCAGCTTCAGGCTCGAACACAGCGTATCGTAATTGTTGTTTTGTCATACTTTCGCGTCGCGAAATTCTCGCAGACTTTCCGCGTCCCTCTTAAACGGTAGAAGACCAGTTCTTTTCCGAAAACAAAGCGTATCTAATGGAACAAAAGAGCTTCCCCGATGGATAATTATAGAGTTAAACAACGTCAAACACCGGGCGGGACGGTGTTCGTGAAAAGTTGAAGCGACGAGTAATGGCCGGTCACGGGTCGAAATTATTACACGATATAAAGCACCGAGTGAGTTTCTGCAACGCCGGGAGCACTCAGCCACGTAGACAATGACCGCTCATAAAATCTCGAAATCACTTCCTGCCACCTCCCGTCGATCCTCTCTGTTTATCGCACGCCAGTATGCAAATTTGTTTTCACTTCCCTTCGCCGCTACAAATTTAACACTTTGATTACCAGACCGTTGGGAGGACAATCATTTTTGCATCGGTCACCGGGCCTGGCCAAACGTGCTTGTATAAACGCCGGATACACGGTCGATCGATCCACATCCGCCCACCCTATGACGTACAATCCCGTCTGCTAATCGGTTTTTCAACCCCAACGTCGATGAATTTCATCCCTTTCTTTTCCGATTCTGCCCTGCGGGCAAAGATAACGCTACTACCCACCTGTCTACCTAATCTGACTTATCGTGATGCCACGATTCTTTACCTTTTCATCCCTTCACGCTAGAGGTGTCACTATCGATACCTTATCGATATTTTATACATATCTCAGGCGTATTTAATACTGATAATATCGGTAAGATATCATTAATGAGAATATAGAAAGCGTCATTGAATAAAATTGAAGTAGTGTGTTGAATTTAACTTAGTATGAGGCAGTCATATATTCAAAATAAATGTGAATAATCTATAAACTTGTGTTTTATCAGAATATGTTAACAGTGTAATGAGTATGTATAATTGTATGATGCATTGATAAACTATCGTTATTTAATTTGTGTGCGGCATCATGAGTATCCATAGGCAACCGAGATCTACCACTTGTTGATTTTTGATTGAAGCATTTGCGAGGGTTAGAAAATTTAACTTAAATTTAACATACCAGAAATAAACTTGCAGATCGGTTTACTTTGGTAGTATGAAAATTTGTAAAGTATCAAATTTAAAAAATTGAAAATTAAAAATTTTATAAATCACTCCTACTTCAACCATCTTTGCATTCGCTCTAACATTTCAACGATATCGACAACGTTCTACCATTACATCGAATTATCGATAATTTTCCAGTACCATCGATAGTCACACCTCCATTTTAACAGTCCGTCATCGATCAAAATAAACAGAAACCGTGATTTCCCTGCTCAGACATCGACTGATATGTTAATCTGCTCGAACGAAATGTCACGGATTCGATCCTTTTCTAACCTCATTCGTCAAATCACCCTCCTTCTGTCTCACGTTTAACATCCGGTCAAAGGATGATGTGTACAATGTAACACGAGGGAGCCAGTAGGGGTTAAAAATGACCAACGATTGGTCTATCGACGAGAAACTTCGTTGTCCGTTTCGAGAGAATTTTTCCGTATACTTCGATGCGTCGTGAAAGAATGAAATGAAGCTTCTTCGTCGAACAACGCTTTTGTTCGCGTTCTGAACGGGTAAACTTCGTTTGTTTCGGTGTATGGTCGGGAGAGAATGTTCCTGTTTTTCGTCTGGTTCGGTAAAAATGTTTGGTTTCGAGTGCAAAAGTGCGTTCGATCGCTGAAATGCCGATCGTTCCTTCAGTTTCCTTAGAATATCCTCTGCGAGGAAACTTTTAGCACCATTCGAATTGCAGGCCCATGAAATGTTCGGGTCATCACGGTCACCTCAGAAACGATGACAATAATGTTGACAGAACGATGAGAATGAAGGCTGCCGTCTGATTTCTGCCTCCTCCGTGTTGCATGGCAGCTGGGTTCTCGCCTGAAACAATATACACAATAACTTATTAAATTCAACTACCAACGGAAATAAAGATTAATTTTAATTATTTACAAAGTAATTTACAATAACTTTGTATTATAACAGCATATTAGAAGTTATTCAAGTTAATAAATTACATTTAACTGTTTATAGCGACTATGTCGCTTTGAGGTCGACGGTCCGCCATTTTGGATTACGAATATTGACGAAGCATGAGTACAGTCATTTTCCTTAGGCTTCAAGCTTTACATTCATATATCATACGTGCTATTTTGAGATACTTTTATGTCATGAAATCGTGACGCAAGTTAGTTAACCCAGTAGAGTACGTTTTACTATTTGTAGTAACAGATACATTGCTTTGAGCCTGATAGTCAGCCATTTTGAATATAGAATATTAACAAAGTGTGTACATAGACATTTTTCTTATGCTTCAAACTTTAAATTAATGTATCATACGTATTATTGCTTTAAATTAACGTATCATACGTATTAGTCTGAGGTATTTTAATATTAACAAAATCGTGTCAGAAATTATCTAACCTAGTGGAGTATATTGTACTATTTGCAGTAACTGATATATTGCTTTGAGGCTGATAGTCAGCCATTTTGTATATAGAATATTAACAAAGTGTGTACATAGACATTTTTCTTATGCTTCAAACTTTAAATTAATGTATCATACGTATTATTTTGATGTATTCTAATATTAATAAGGTCGTGTCTGAAGTTATTAAACCTAGTGGAATACATTGTACTATTTGCAGTAACTGATATATTGCTTTGAGGCTGATAGTCAGCCATTTTGAGTATAGAATATTAACAAAGTGTGTACATAGACATTTTTCTTATGCTTCAAACTTTAAATTAATGTATCATACGTATTAGTTTGAAGTATTTTAATATTAACAAAATCGTGTCAGAAATTATCGAAACTAGTGGAGTACATTGTACTATTTGCAATAACTGATATATTGTTTTGAGGCTGATAGTCAGCTATTTTGAATATAGAATATTAACAAAGTGTGTACATAGACATTTTCCTTATGCTTCAAGCTTTAAATTAATGTATCATACGTATTATTTTGATGTATTCTAATATTAATAAGGTCGTGTCTGAAGTTATTAAACCTAGTGGAGTACATTGTACTGTTTGCAGTAGCTGATACACTGCTTTAAGGCCAACGGTGCACCGTTTCCATGAAGAATATTAAAAAACTGTAAACACAGTCATTTTCCTCTGATTTCAAGCTTTAAATTCACATGCTACATGTGCTATATTCGAACACTTTTATGTCATAAAATTGCATTAATATTTTCATAAATCAGAAAATCACAACTCTTTCATGCGTTTGATTTCACTGCAAGTTCGCCATTTTGTATTAAGAATATTTAGCACAATTTATGAAAGTACATGTTGGAGTACATTGCCGGAATATTTAAACAATATTTAAAACCTTGCAGTACTTCGAAAGCTCCTTATACAATATTAAATGCATATTAATATTTCCTTTAGTAATTAAAGGGGCTTAATATCGAGTGTATTTTAATTACATTTGCAATCAGATCGTTAAAACCCGTTGGGCGATTAAAATCCGTAATTTGTTCCAACAGCCATTGCTTGATTTTCGTTTAAAAGCAACTTTTACCAACGTACGTATTTTAATATCTCTCACGAATTCGAGATTGCGGCTAGTAATTTCAGCTCGCAATTTCGTATCTTGTTTATCCACGTTCCCTGAATCATGCATTATTCCGTGAAATAAAAGTAGACGTACAGAAAAAGAGAAATATGCTTATCAACGACACACATGATCCATTCAAAGTTTCCTGAAACGAGCGAATAAACTTCCGAAAACTACGAATCAACATGAGAGCGTTTAATTCTCGAAACATTGACCGACGTTGTCCGCCAGTTTTTATCGTCGAAACAGGTTTCCAATTTTCAGGGTATGAATAAAGACCGTCTAGGAATTGCTAGTAATTGAAATCGTATACAACTACGAATTCAAGTTTCGTTCGGAACAAAAAAAGGTACACATCTGTTTCAATCAAAACCGAACGTTTAGATTGAAACAAAGCGAAATCAAAGTGCGTGCTGTTAAAAAATTGTATGAAGAATTCGGGCTACGTATTTGGTTGTTTTTAATGTTGTAAAGTTAATTGTTTGTAGCTTGTTCGTGTACAAATATTGGCCAACCAAAATGAAAACATGGAAGTTGCGATACTGTATTATTTCCTGCATAGCAAGGTTATTAGCCGGGAAATTTTTTCGGGTATGAAATAACAGTGGAGTGGTTAAATGTACTTTTCATTAGCCATTGTTGATATTTGTAAAAGAACCTTTCATATATTCTGTATTATTAATTGATCAGTTTATGACGTAAAAATTTCTTTAATTTTATGATAATACAACTTTTTAATTGTATCGTGATGTATTCATTTAAATTTTAATTTATATTTAAATTGATTTAAATTTATTAAATTAATAATTTTGCAATATTTATTCTTTGCATTTTGTAATTTTCAAATTTTCCAATTTTCTAAATGTCTCACTTCCAATTTTATAATTTCCTTGTTTTCTAATTTTCTAATTTTTTAGTGATTTAATTTTCTAATTTCTCAATTTCTCAATTTCTCAATTTCTCAATTTCTCAATTTCTCAATTTTTGAATTATTCAATTTTCCAATTCTTAAATTCTTCAATTCTTCAATTTGTTAATTCTTCAATTCTTCAATTCTTCAATTCTTCAATTCCTCAATTCCTCAATTCCTTAATTCCTCAATTCCTCAATTCCTCAATTCTTTAATTCTTCAGTTCTTCAATTCTTCAATCCTTCAATCCTTCAATCCTTCAATCCTTCAATCCTTCAATCCTTCAATTCTTCAGTTTTTCAATTCTTCAATTCTTCAGTTTTTCAATTCTTCAGTTTTTCAATTCCTCAATTCTTCAATTCTTCAATTCTTCAATTCTTCAATTCCTCAATTCCTCAATTCCTTAATTCCTCAATTCCTCAATTCCTCAATTCTTTAATTCTTCAGTTCTTCAATTCTTCAATCCTTCAATCCTTCAATCCTTCAATCCTTCAATCCTTCAATCCTTCAATCCTTCAATTCTTCAGTTCTTCAATTCTTCAATCCTTCTATCCTTCAATTCTTCAATTCTTCAATTCTTCAATTCTTCAATTCTTCAAGTCTCCAATTCTTCAACTCCTTAATTCTTCAATTCTTCAATTTTCCTCAATTTTTTCAAGTTTCTATTTTTCTCATTGTCCACATTTTTAATTTTCTAATACTGAATTTTTCTAATTTTTCAATTTTCTAATATTTGTATTCCTTATTTTCTAATTATCCAAATATTCATTTTGTTAATTTTTCAATTTCTTGAAGTAACATTTCTATACTTGTGTCATTTGTTTCATATACTGTCTCAGTTTCCTATTTATTTATTTTCCTATATTTTCACTTGTCCAATTTTTTATTCTTTTAACTTAGTGTTCAAATGCGAAATAAACGAATATATTCAATGTTGATCATCGTAATCGTTTCATCCCACTTAAAACGAAAACCTGAAACCGCAGTTAGGAGAGTGGTGCAGGGATCAGCAATTAAGGAAATGATAGGAAAAAAGAGGAGGACGATACGGAACGGAGCGAAGAGAGAAATATGGCAAAATCCAGATTTAGGCCGGATTAATACACGATTCTTGATTTTTCACTAATCCGTAATCTTCCTTCGCCGGATTAAGTAAGTACTCTTAATTCGATTTGACCCTGGTAATTACATGTAAGGCGACACGATTGAAATTAACGTCGAATATTTAGGTCAATCTTCGCAGTCTCGAAAATTTCGTCGGAAATCCGGAATGTCACAATTAGATTTAATAAACCGATCAGATTTAACAAATTCCATAAGTACATAAAATACTATTTAAACAAAACATATTCTCCATTCTGAGACTTGATCTGCATTTGTTTGTCAGTACAAAAACCAATATGTACATATATGTAATCTATCAGCAATTGTGGCTCTTTTTATTGGAAATTTTGAAGACAGACTCGCGAGACATTTTTATAAACAACATCAAATACTTCATTGATTATAATATATTTAAAAAATGTATAATATTCAGGATAGTGTTACTGACCATATTATTACTCATACCATAGGGTGTTACCTTAAACGTGACGCACAATATTTTATCCACTTATATCTATCTGATAAAAAAAAATTTAGAACAAGAGTTCTAGGGTGTAGAGTGTACAACACATATCGGTAAAAAAAGTAATTCAAAAACAGTTTGTTTTCACAGCGAAATTGGTGTCACCTCGGATTTTGCAAATAGGAGCACATCTTCTGTTTACCATATTGAAGAGAAACATGTAGGCTTAACGATATAAATTTAAAAATAACTTGAACGAAACTTCTGCTATAAATTATTGCCAGAGGGAGGCTCCTTGGATGATTTCTTTGTTTGTCTGTACGCTACAGGCAATTTTGAGACTTTTCACTTGAAATTTTGAGGGTAGACTCGTGAGGCACCCTAAATTTGCTGTATAGATTATGGCGGCGATCTGACGACAGGAATCTGCCGACATCGATCGTCGTCGAATCGATAAAAACCTTGCTGTGGTATTATTTTCAATAATTTTTGACACGGAATCGACTGGAAGCACGTTAAAAACTCTACAATTCATCGTTGACGATATCTGGTCGTCATTGACGTCGGTCGTCGTGAAATCAACAATAATCGTGTTCGGTATCGTTTTCGATAGTTTCACATATGTTTAATCGTTTTAAACAACTTCAAAATCTCTAAATCTCATTATTGTTCTGCCTGTGTGTCTGCAGTGGGTACTCGAAATTTTGAATATACATTCGAATTTGCAAAGCACTCAGTCTGTACCGCTAGTGGAGTATTAGTCCTAGAGCTGGATGAATGTGGCGTTTGTTCCGAGATTTGTATTTGAACATATAATTTTGAAAGCTTCGAGTTTATA